GCCCAGGCGCAGGCAATGCAGGTACGTTTAACCGGGGTGCAGGGGAGAGCTGCGTTGGATGGAGCTCCCCTGCACCCCCTCCGTCCCCCTGCATAAACATGGGTGGTGAGCCCCTTATCTCATGAACTAGAGAAGTGCACACACACACACACACACACACACGCACAAAGAAAAGCCAGCAAAAACGAAACCTGATCAAAAAGCAAAGGACCCTGAATAACAGACTGTAAACCGCAGAACGAAGGGCCATTGCACACGAATCCCCAAAGATTGGAAGCCTGCCAAGTCCTTGCTGTCTCCACTGTATGCAAAAGTCGATTCGGGAACAGCGATACGTGCCATCTGAGCGCTCCCATCGACGCTAGCGCCAGTGGGCTTCCGCCCGCTGCAGCAGTGGCTGCACCACCCAAGAGCAAGATCCTGGACCGCACTCGGGGCTCTTCTTGGAGCGGTTAGCAGCTGCTTTTCGCCCGAGGCCTATGCCATTCATCACGTACTTTCGGTCGATTCCCTAACTCAGCCCTGTCTACAGCCAAGCAATCGCCGGACAAACTCCCCAACAGCATCGCTCTGCTTGAGTTGACACTCTGACACTACCACTTCAGAAACCAAGCAGAAAACTTCTCTGGCACGACTTCGTGGGCCAGGTGAGGTCACACCTCTGCTCTGAACACTCTTTTGTTGGAACCTTTCGAAGCAGGGCTCTGCAGCTATGCCTGCCCCTCCAACCCTGAGCTCATGTCAGGACAGGAAGGCCAATAACGAAAGTTAGAACTCAACAGGTTTGCAACGAGGACGACTGGCGACGAGGAGGACAAGGCCCGTTCTCCTCACTACTCATACTGACACGGTTGGCGATGGTTAATGCCAAGATGAGCTTCGTGATATTGCTACTCATATGGCGCCGTTCACTACGCACCAAAAAAGGAGAAGAAGCAGTAGTGGCAGTAGTCAGTAGTCGTCGCCATCGTCGTCCTAGTCGCAGTGGTAGGACTCGCCGGTGGTAGCAATGTGGCAGCAGTAGCAAAAGCTTCAACAGCAGCAGGAGCAGAAGCACGAGCGGCCTCAGCAGCAGAAGCAGCAGTAGCACTAGCGGCAGTGGCAGTGGCAGCAACAGTAGCAAAAGCAGCAGCAGCAGCAGCAGCAGCAGTGGTGCCGCTGGCAGTTGCAGCAACAGCAGCAGTGGGAGGGCAGGAGGAGGAGGAGGAGGAGGAGGAGGATTAGCCTACTGTGTCACGTGGACGTCATGAAAAGGCAGCAGTTTCTGCCAACAAGAGGCCCAAAGGTTATCAGGTGGTCGTAGCCGGACTCGTCCAGCAAGCCTAAAACAGAACGAGAGGCGAAGGCTTCAAAGGCTGCCTTCCAGAACATCCCGAAGCCCAAACTGGGATTAGAGGTGCTCCTGGAAATGGTCCGCTACCATCGATTGAAGGGATGCGACCATGTTTTTCGTGGACATATACAATGCAGGACGACTCGAAAGATGCTGCGGTGCAAGGTGCAGAGGTCCGAGTTTCCTAGCAGCCTCCACCTCACGCCGAGTAAGCATCCGGTACGAAGCTAAGCGGTGCCAGAATGAGTACTAAGTTGAGGGAGCCATGGGTATCGGAACGCAGCCGAGCAGCACGAGACGCCCCGCGGGATGGACAACCTCGGGCTGCTCTCTCGGGGCGAGGCTCACGGCCGAGGTGCCTTTAACGCACGCTCCTGCCCTGCTGCCTGAAATGCCAGACCTTGCTACGAAACCTGTCTTGGTGGCTGCAAACATGCCTCCATTTTGCAGCAGAGAACCTGAACCAATTGCTATCATCCAAAACCACAGGTGCCTTAACCCCAAATCCCGAAGCCCCCTCCCTGGAAATGCCGATAGGAAGCGGGCTGCCGTCATCCCCCTCCTCCTCCTCCTCGCCAGCTCCTGCGCACAAGCTTACTCGACATTCTTCCCCACTCGCCCAGCTGACAAAGTCGCACTGCAGGGAGTTCGTTTCGGACTACTGAGAGGTCAAGGGGAGAACCAAGGTAGACCACACGCTTCCATGGCGAGCAATGCAAAAAGACCAACACCAACTGACAACCATAAACGGTTCTGGAGTTTGCCGTGTCGTCGGCTCTCCGGTTCCTAGCAGAGCGCTGAAGTAGGACAAATCCTCTAGCCCGACGCAAGCCCAATACCCCAGCTCTCAGCACAGGGCTGTGTAAAATCTACGAGCACCTTCATGACCTCGTTGATAACCCAAACAACAAAAGGTGAGAAAAAGCGGATCGCGAAAAACACAATAAGGGAACCAAACACACGACTAAAGTATACAGACTCGACATTGAGCGCAGGGTTCAGACTTTATGGCATTGGCTAAAGATTTTTGGCAATTGTGGGTATTCTAAGGGTCCCGAAGTTCGCTTGGGCTCTGGACTTTGCACTTGCAGGCCGAAAGACTTTGCACTTGAAGGCCCATCACACTGAGCCCCTGGGTTTCGACTCTCGCAACTCGCACAAAGCAGGCAAGGCTTCACGACAACTGGGTCCGAACTGTCGCGCATCTGCGAAAAGCCTCAACATCTGAGGAAGACTTCCCAAGGTGAGACGTTTGAGTCGCACCCATGCCAGGCCTCAGCAGCAAGAGACCAAAGGTCCCAAGCCGTGCATCTACTGACATTATGCTGCGTGAGCCCCAGCACCCGGGGGGGGGGGGTTCCAGGGTTTATGGTTTCGACGAATGATGTTGTAGGCTTAGGGTTCAGAGTTGCGGGAGCAGCCTTCTCCAGCTCGGCAAGGCGCCATCTCAGTTATCAGTCAAAGACTATCTACAAAGGTCACAAACTGCCGCACGCCAAATGCAAGTCAACTTCCAACAACTGTAGAACCACTAGCCGGGCAAGCCCTTTGCAATACGGGGAGCCTTTTCCTGCTGCTTAGCTTTTATGCTAGTAGCTACAAGCGGAACGGTCAACAGAAGCACCAAGCCCTCACCCGACCTCTGGTCAGGCTAGCCGGCATCTTTGCATCCGCTGCATTCACACCCAAGAGCCTTGCTCGATTTCACGGTGCTGGCTCTCCAAACCCATTCGGCACATGGGGTGCGTTCTGAAAGACTACAGTAACCATGACAGAAGAGCCAGTTCCCCTACTACTACAGTAGCTGGGGTGTCTCTGGCTCACTCCCTCGTTCCGAGCCACTGACTAGAAGTGATCAAGTAGACAGCTATCTCACAGATGACAACTCCATCTTTCTAGGCCCCAGGCATGTACTCATGATGACGATGCTACCATACACGCACGCCGCCTACGCAGTTCTCTCTTTGACAAACCGACCGTTGCCTGCAAATGATTTCAAGCAACATCCGAACCTGGACCCCATGAATGCTTAACCTCCCATTGGATCCTAGAGAGCTACCAAGAAAAGCGCTCTAATTGAATGTGTCAGCACGTGGCCCACTTCTGGCATCTCTGCACAGAAATTGCAGCTAATGAAGCCGCAGACCAAATTTCGGTCTCCTTTTTTGGTAACCTAAGCCTGAGCACGCAGAAACCATGACCGACCACAAAACAACCTCTTCAGACCCACTCAGAGGAGTTCAGAGGAATTCTGCGAGGAGTCTCACCGACGTTCACAGTGTCCTTGCCTGTCAGCCGAGATACCAGCATGCAAAGTCCATCGTGTCAAGCGTCAGCACCACGAAGGGCCGCAACCTAGAAAAGTAGGCATGACGGACTTTTACCGAGCCAGTCCCATGAGAAGCCGCGCCATTTAGCCCTCTCAAGGACAGGCGTCCTCCTGTTAGATTGACCATCTGGGGCTGCGCCCTGCTTCATGAGCAGTTCAGGACCCATCAACGAAGCTCCCTTTGGCTGAGCGTCGGCCGCCGGAGCTGCGCGGGATGCACGTTGCTCAGCAGTGCCTCCACCGCCTGGCGGAAGTCCGAGTCTCTTGGAACTGAGCTGCCGCCACAAGGACAACGACGAATAACATCAACCGACCAGCGAACAAGGAACCAGCAAGCTAGCGAGACAGGTCCTGATTCCCCACTCCAAGCAACCGCTTCTGCTCTTCCCGAACCAAACACCTACAGCCCCAAAGCCAGTTGCCAAAAACTTGCCGACATGCCAGGAGCATTTCAACACATGCTAGGCCAAGCTCGGGAGTGGGATCCCACCTGCTCCTCAATGTCCAGCCAATGCAAGTCATCCTTCCTGCCGGCTTGGACGGGTCCAGGGTTACTGCTCCGACATTGACGAAGCAATGTGATGTCAGAGGGCAGCGCTCAGTTGTCGATCAAGAATCATGCGCTGACAAAAAAATTGAAAAATGCATAAGCCTGAGGCTTAGATTGCCTGACAAGGCAAGCCCTATCCACAGAACACATTTGCAAAACAGAGTCCTCTCAGCCATCTTTGACCTGTCTTCTGGGAAAGGACGTGCGCACAGTCCAGACATGCAGACATGCGCTGTCTCATGCAAGATGCACGGTGAGCACAGCGGGGTACTGCCATGGTGGCAGCCTGCTTTCGAAAGATCCAATGCTAACACGCAACTGCCCCAATTCTCTTCAGCCAGGCAGCAATGACATACTTACTTGCTGGACGGTGCCGTCACGATAAACCTGGCGCAGGATGTGGGAGTATCGCTTCTCGCAGCGTGGCAATGTTGGCAGACATTGTACATCCACTCTACTACATCGACAGGTGTTTACACTTTCAACTGCCCGAGGCCTTAAGGCAAAATGCGTAGACTTAGTCCAAGCAACCGATTCCGGAGGGCCCAGAACACTACATGACCTTTACAATTGAAACGAAAGCCAAACCAGTGAATCGAAAGTCGATTCGACATGAAATGCTCCAACTCTGACGCCTCTGTTCAGCGGTGGGGCTGCTGGCTCGCGCTGCAAGCTTGAGCGGACCAGGTCACGAGGCAATTCACGCCAGATAGACAGTCACCAAGAAAGACGCTTAGAAAGTCTGGTGATAGCCAATTAACTAAGGTCCTTATGCACCAGGCGCATGCCCATTCAACTATCCATCTATCCGTCTCTCCATCTTTCCGTCCATCCGTCCGTCGGTCCGTCCATCCATCCATCCATCTGCCGGTCTGCCTGTCTGTCTGTCTGTCTGTCTGTCTGTCTGTCTGTCTGTCTGTGTCTATCTGTGTCTGTCTGTGTCTGTCTGTCTGTGTAGGTCTGTCTGTCTGCACGTCGTGTGTTTGTCAACGTATATGTAACAATGTGTATATATATATATAACATATAGAACTATAGAACAGATGTTTGTAATGTTGTGCTCTCGTATATACAACGACAAACATGTCTTTATTGGACGTGTGTGTGTGTGTGGGTGTACGTGTGTCAGACAGACTGGCACCACCTCACAATTAACAAACACACATGCATACTAACATGACCACCTGCGTGCACATACACACTAGGAGCCTTAATGTTCACACTGTGTTTATCAATCAACATATGATCATGCCCGTTACTTGCGTGCCATGTACGGAAGCATTTGTCTATGTGAGCTTAAGTGTACACACGTATCTGTACCAGGTAATGCGAAACTGTATTCGTGATTTTGCGCATGAATTCTTTGCTTTGACAATCGCTAATGCTTTGGATTTAGTTTTGTCTCGGTTATGCCTGATGCATGTTGATACAACTCTAAGCTGGCTTCTGTCCAGCAGCCTCCAAGAAATTGCAAGCCTGACGTTAAATCAGAAACTCGACAGAATTCGGCAACAGCACCCACGCTCCTGTGCCAGTTCTGTGCCTCTCTCGACCTTGCACCAGACCAAGAAACGAAATGTCAGAGGCTTCGGGGAGGACACCTGAATTCCAACTGCAACTAGAGCGACGAACGCGGGAACAGGTCTTCCTAATTATCGCCTTGGTTTCGTAAAGAGAGCGGGGCCCAATTTCTGCAGAGAAGCTGAAGGCAGAGAACAAAAGATCCATACCTTATATTCAGCTCTGCAGGACACGAACTGCTAATCAGAATACCAGGTCGGCAAAGCTTGGTCTCAAAGTGCGCATGTTAACAGAACCTGATCCCGCTTCCCGGATGCCTTCCCTACTCCACGAGGCCTCTTCCTCCCATCTCTCCCAGCGTTCTTGGGCCCGTCGTCGGTCCGCTTCTGCAAGGCACAAGTGAAGCTGTGGTGTGGAGGGCGCACTAGGTCAGGTCTAACGGTCTCACGATCTCAACCCGACCCTTGTGCCGCGATCCCTTGACCGGAACAATCACAAAACAGCCACAAACACCAGCACAGGAAACAAGCACAAGACCGCAATGAAATCCTGTACTGTACGTCTGTAAGCCACTGCAAGCCCCTGGACAAACACCTGCCTGCTCCTTGCAGGCCTCCATTTCGGACAGCCTTCCGCAAGAGCCTCAGGAAGTTACGGACGCAGAAACTTTGTCGGGCATCAGGGCGAAGTGCTGACATCGCTGACCAGATGCAACAGCCTAAGCCGGAAGAAGTAATGAGATCATGATACTAGTATATTAAGTCGATCCCGACCACCTCAGCATCAAGAAAGCACGTTCTGGTCGCTAGTGGCTAGTGAGTACTTCGAGCCCACAACCAAAAATTCATATTGTACTATATTGTAACATACCGGACTGTATTACATGCGGTTATATTGCATTGGATTGTGCTGCGCTGTATTAAAATATAGCAAAGAATAGTGTGGTAAAGTGTACTTAATAAGACATTACATTGTAGCATATTACTGTCTTGCATAATATAGTACAGTATAGGAAACTATCTTACTGTTTACAGCATAGGCTGCCATAGTAAAGCTTGAGATAGTCTGTGTGCTACTGCATGGTTTCTTCTAGTATATTATACTATACTGTGTTATGCTATCTTTTCATGCCCTATGTTATATTACAGCTTGGCATAGTTTGTTGTATGGTTTTGCATTGTGCTATAGTATCTCATATCATGTTGTAGTATAGGATAGAACAATCTAGCACAGTACAGCATAGAATTGTACGACATACTATCACTATGGTAAAGCAAAGTATCGAACAGCATGGTACAATGGTACGGCATAGTATAATACAATCCGGAACAGTGTAGCACAGGATAGCATGGTATGGTATAGTGTAGTACGTTATATACTAAATATTACATTATTACATGGTTGTATGCATGTGTATGTATACATATATATATATATATGTATATGTATTTATGTATGTATGTACATGCGTGTGTCTGTGTGTATATTATATATGTATATATGCATGTATGTATGTATGTATGTATGTATGTATACATATATATATACATATATATATATATGTGTGTGTGTGTGCGTGTATGTATATATGTATGTGTAAAAGTAAATATATATATATATATGTGTGTGTGTGTGTATGCATGCATGTATGTATGTACATCTGTGTGTCTGAGTGTATGTGTATGTACATGTAAAAGGATGTGCATATGCATATGTATACGTATATGTATATGTGTGTGTATGTGTATGTGTATGTGTATATGTGTGTGTATGTGCAAACATATATATATATATGTGTGTGTGTGTGTATGTGTGTATGTATGTATATTTATATTTTAAATGTATATGTATATGTATACGTATATGTATATGTATATGTATGTGTATATGTATATGCATATGCATATGTATATGTATATATGTGTGTGTATGTATGTATGTATATATAAGCATGTGTGTTTGTGTATATATGTATGTATATATATATATACATTTATGGGTGATGCACAAAACTCCCAGGATTCAAAGCTCCAAAAAACCCTAGGTCTTGAGCGACAGGACAAAAACGGTAAGATCAGTTCTGAGAATAGACACGCCGCAATATCAGTCGTTACGGTAATCGCAGCAATGACGGATCATCCACCACCCTTCAGGCACGTACTGAGTTACTGCGGGCCAGCTCATGTACAGAAAGCCACATCGGCATCGGCAGCAGATTCAACAAGCTGAAGACGAAGACAACACGGAAGTACGTTTCTGATGATTGCCTACGTGTATCCTTGTAAGAGAAACACCGGCCCAAGCCCTCACACCCACGCACCATGCAGAAGAAAGAACAGAACCTACTGAACTGGCCGGCCGGCGCGTAGGCTGCACGGAGCTGCTGGAAGTCCTGGCATGTCACTTCGAGGGGTCGTGGCGACGACTCTGTGTCCCGGCATTGTTCTCTTTTTTTGAACCTTTTTGAACCCTACCGCCCATGTCTGGAGGCGGAATCTCTGGGATTTCGTCTACGGAAGTTGCGGGCTCAGGGTTGTATTTAGGATGGTTTTGCCCTTTGGCAGCAGGCTTGTGTCCTCACGCTCGGACGGTGTCATCAGAACCTTAACACAAAACCCGAAGCCCTAAACTAACCCAGAATATACCAGAATAACCCAGAGCAAGGTCTCGAGTCTCGAGGCCAAAGGTAACTTCAGCAGACTGTGAAGTCAGGCTTGCCAGGCAAGCATGAGGCCCTGCAGCTCAGGATGCAAGTCCTGAGCACGTTGAATCCTGAGCACTCACCGCAAGCTTTTTTTGAATCTGGGCTAACGTGCTTTCGACGTCTAAACACAAGCTCCTGAACCTTTTGCCCCGCACTCGAAATCCGAATATGGTTCGGGTTTAGCAGTGCAAAGGGTAGCGAGGACAACGACTTGTCTCCCAACTGTGGCCCTTTCCATTTTCGCCGCCTCGTGTCATGCGCGAGAGGTGACCGCGCAGATAGCCGCCTCACAAAGGTGCATACTCGTAGCGCTCCTTGTTCCTCCAATCTGGCCACGGCAAGTCCTGAGCTTTAGAACAACGGCTTGAGCAGGAGCAGCAGCAGCAGCTGCAGCCCTGTATAACCGTTTTTGCAAGGATCTCGCATCCGATATCCTAATCACTGAAACCCTTCGCCGTACACCCCCTGGAACAATGCGCATTATCCCAAGTCTCCACGTCCCAGGGGTCCGGGAGAGGCTGGAAAAAAGACGCGCATGGCGTTTCGGCCTCACGCGGAGTCCTCGCCTGCGTCTGCTCTCTGTTCTGCTGATTGTAGGCGTCCTTGGCTGTGGGACGCATGGTTTGGGCGCCTCGGAAATTCTTACTTACAGGTGGTTCGGAACTGGAGGGCCCCACCATCCATTCATTGACGTTGGGCATCCTTCTACTGACTACTCGTTTCTACTCATTTCGCACACTGGCCCTAGGCATGTCTTGGGGAAACCACATTTCTTGAACCAACCGCGCTGCATCCCTCAGCATCCCTGTGCATGCAGTCTGGGCATAGGGTTGCACACATAGTACGACGACCTTGCAGAGCAACGACAAAGAAAGTTGACAACGGCAAGGAGACAGATGACTCTGACTCTGAAGATGACCCGTGGTGGGTGATGCGTGGTGGGTTGTGGCCATTGTGAGCGGCAGGAGGAGTCTGACGGTCAAGACGAAAGGTCTTCTTTCCATGATTTACGTAGTATCTGAACCTGGTTTCAAGCAAAAACAACTGCCCATGGGCGACTAAGTTTCCCAGTATTTTCTGACGTTCCGACACTCTCCCTCCAACCAGATGTAGTCACTCACCCGGTGGCCGTTCGCTGTAGCTATGGGTAGAAGATCACGCGAGAAACGTAGCTCCAGCTCCTCAAGAAGTGTCAGGGCAGTACCAGTGCGGTCGCCCCTCCCGGTGCGTCCGATCCGATGGACGTACTTAAGTAAAGCATTCCTTCCCCCCGAGGGATAATCATAGTTCACAACCCAAGCGCAGGTAAAGAAGTCGAAACCTCGGGAGAGGACATCAGTTGTCACCAGAACACGGGGCTGTGGAGAGGAGCCATCCCTGAACTTATTGTAGATGTCGTCGGAATACCACAGGCTTCGGGTTCGACCGAAACCTTCGATGTCTCCGGGCTCGAGGATCCCGGCCTCCTCAAGAAGCTGAACCACTCGCTCCACGTTTCCCCGTGGGTCAGCGCCGGCGTTCACGAATACAATGACTTTCGCGCCGGCTTTGATCTCATCAGACACTGGTGTACCATCTCTGGAGCAGCAGATGGATCGAATAGCTTTCACAAGAGCCTGGTCTTTCGTTTCGCCTTGCTTCCACTGCCAGGGGTCTGCAGGGTCACCACGTCCAGGGCACCAAAATCGCTGCGTCACACGTTCGCAAGCTTTCAAATCTGTTCCGCCTACAGCGACGCGGAGGCCACGATCAAGCTTGATGTCCTTCAATCCATCCCTCCATGTCGCAGTGAACAGCAGCGTTTGCTTGTCTTTGCGCGTGCTCTTCATGAGAATCTGTAAAGGGCTGATCATATCGGAGGCGTTGTCGCGGTCTGGGCGCAAGAGCATGTCGTCGGCTTCATCCACCACAACGTATGTCGTGCGATCGATGTCGTACTGTTCCGAAGAGAGAAGGTCCCCCAATTTGCCCGAGGAGGCACACAGGATGTCACATCTCCCCGGCTCAGGCCCTCTGTCACCTGTGCTGCAACTCACCACTCGTCTTGACAATCCACTATATTTACACCATGCCTCGGCCTCTTGCGCAATTTGTTGGCAGAGCTCTCTCAAAGGCAGTAGGATCAGGGCAATACAACCATCGTGAGTCCGAAGGGCTGGCTGCACCTCTACATGTTCCAGGAGAGGGAGCAAGTAGCACAGCGTCTTGCCACTGCCCGTTGGGGCAATGCCCACCAAATCCCAGCCTTGCATCAGCAGAGGCCACCCCTGCATCTGGATTGGCGTGGGCTCCCGGTAGCCTCTTCGTTTGAGCTGCTCTTTCACTGCATCTCCAAACGGCGCATACTCAAGTTTGAATACGGGCGTCGGCATGTCTTCTAGATATTCTTGCTCCGTCTCCCAATCCACGATTTCGATCCCGTGTTTTGCACGCAGGAAGCTGCCATTGCACGTGCTGTCTTCTATAAAGAAAATATTCTGAGTATAATGTGTCGCAATACGCTGCGGCAAATCGAGGCCTCTGCGGTCCTTCTCGGGGAGCGAAGTCCTTCGCTTGCCTTTGCCTGAGGCTCAAGAGGGAAAACGTCACGAAACCTTGTCCGAGTCAAGATGGTCCCGACTGCACAAGTTTGCTTCTGCTATCGACTACGAGACTATTTGGACTTCCTCCCGGCGGAGCAAGTGCTGTTGAAGTCTATGATAATTTAATTAGCTCTTGTTCCATGGCGGCCTGCAGCTTTATACCCGGGGCCCAACCCTAGTCCTGGAGTGCACCGGCTACGCTCAAGCCCCTATTGAGGTCTAGGTTAGGGTGTACCTAACACGTGCAACACAACCTGGTCCATCTCAAGCTTAAACGTGCACGCAGCAATACCTCCGGAGGTCGTCGGAGATCCGAAAGCACCAACCGCCAACAAGAGCAAGGCATGCCTCGGGAACAGATTCGAGATTCAAAGGACCCCTTCTTGGAGCAGGCATGCTTGCCTTGCTCTTGTTGGCGGTGGGTTCTTTCGGAGCTCCGACGACCTCCGGAGATGCCCATATCCTGCTAGCCTGCAGCACGTCCTGGGGGA